GTCTCTTTTCTTGTTATATTTTTCTATTTGTTCTTAAGATTTATTCTAATATTCATTTTTTTCTTAAACCCATGATATCTCATTTACTTTGTTWGCTGAATTCAAACTCATAATAAATAATAATCTTATACTTAAGATGCATAAAAACATCAGTGAATATAGCTAGGGAGGAATTCAAGGTAAGTTAAAGCGCATTTCCATGTAGTCCTAAAGCCAGACTGAGACAACAGTGAAAGATTAGGGGTTGCAGTTTCAGTATAAAAAAGCAAGTAAAACGAATCATGTATTTTACAAACACTTCAACTAAGACAAAGTGCAATTTTCAAACTCATGAGGGGTTTATTGTGGTGATTATTTTCAGTGTAACCATAATTTGCAGTGAAACTAGTTTGGTTTAACAGAAGTACTGCAGCTGTGAGCAGTGGTGTTCCACTTAACATTTCCACAAAATGTAAAAATAAAAAAAGAAAATAAATAAAAATGTTTAAAGCGACACGGCAAAATTTAACTCAGATTCGTAAAAGTTGTGCTTGAGAAGTATAACCATAATCTGCAGAGAATAAGTTTTACACCTAAAATATATATTTAAATATATGGGTTTTAATAAAAGCAATGATTTGAGCTTTTGAATTTTTTTTGTAGCGTATAGCCTGGAAAGCACAATGTTTTTTGACTCAAGAGAAATCTACTTTGATGCTTCTACCTGCAGTCAAAATCAATTCAGCCGATGAAAGAGGACAGCGAGCACGTAATTCAAAGGAAGTGAAGCCTTTAAAGAGGCTTATGGCAAAACATTGCTGCTGTAGAAGAATCCACTTTGTGAATGTGAAAGGAAAAAGAAAAAAAAAACAGTTTAGAGCCTCTTGGGCAGTAATGCAAAGTACAGATACTGTTGTGTTTGCGTCAGGCTTTTTTTTCTCCCTTTTTTCCATAAATATTTATTTGGGTGAGGTTGAAAATTTATCAGGTGGCTGCTTCAGTGTTCAATAAAAATGAGGGCTATTTTTCACACAGTCACTGAAGTGCAGATCTTCATCTAAACAAAAGTTGGTGCGACTCAGAAAAGCTAATCTCACACCGCGCAGCTAAAGTCCTGTTTGAACCTTGTTGCTGCCTTTTAAACCCATGCTTTATCTGCCATCGTATGTCTAATGGCTCGGTGTGGAGCACTCCCTTTTAAGTCCAATAAAAGTGCACGTTAAAAAAATAACATTGAGGATTAAAAGCACAGTTAAGGTGAGTACTGTCCTGGGGTGAAACATGCTGGAGGATTAAAGGCATAGCATTCTTAAAGGGATGGATATAATTATATTATGTTATAAAATTATCGTCGTGGCCATTTTACTTGGCCAAACAATGAAATTAGCATGTTATATTAAGCGCAACGTTGCAAGATGTCACGCTTAGAATATTTGCTGCAAATTACTTTGAGCTACCACCACATGCAATTCAAATCAATATTTGTAAAATATTGGCTATATCACAACGTTTCTGTTGGGAAATGTCAATTATCTGTGGTGTCCACGCTGAATTAAGTTGAGCACAATAGCTAAAGATACAGATGTATGACCGAGGATTAATTTTTCATAGTTTTATTATAATTCTTTGAGATACTGTATTTCACTAACAGACAGACCCTGTTGACTAGCAGCTAATGCTAAAGTTTTAGGCTAAGATCTAAGTATATAAGCGACTACCATACCAAGTTTCAGCTCAAAATCTTTAAAAACTGACCAAATTGTATGTTTTCTAAGGTGGACTGGCTGCAACGGCCAGCTAGCCTCAGAAAAAGCTGTAGATGTACTTCTAATGATTATTACCTAAAATGTTTTTAAAAGTCCAATAAAACGAACGAATAAAGCGAACAATAAAAATCTGCGACCAGATTCAAAGCCCGCACACACACTCACTAACTAAAGACAAGCCTGATTAGTTTGCAATATTCCATTGCAAAAGAAGGGAGGGAACAGTTTGACAGAGTATCAGCAGCTGGAAAGGCTCACCGCAGGGTCAGAGTCATTAGCCATCACTGTGGTTACGATGGTTCCCTTGACGGCATTTGGGGCAACCATGCCTCTGTACACAGACTGGCTGAACACTGGAGTGAAATCATTCATGTCCTGAAAAAAAAAAAACCACACATTTAACAAACATTAGGACCGGAATCATTCGGTTTCTGAAACTTTATACATTTTAAATAAAATAAATCAACAATAACCTTAATTTAATTGTCTGTTCAGTCCACAAACTGACTGTTGTGGATGCTTATAAATCTGGGAACATCTAATTCTCTTAATGCAGCAAAATGTGACAAACCACAAGTCTTTAACCCCAATGCTTTTGCTGACTATTATATTATTTTAGAATCTTGTTTTCCTTGAACCTGGGTTTTAGAGATGATCTGAGACTGTTGTGAGAATAATCAAGGTGGTGGTCTTGATTTTTTACCCCCTAACACAACAAGGAGTGTGAAAATCTGGACCCCACAAAACAACAGTTTTACTTCCCCTACTGCCTGGGTTCATGGGTTGATTTTAGATTTTRTACTCTGTACAGCACTTTGGTCAATGGAAAGCTAAATGGGCTATACAAATCAGCTTTGATTTGAGTCAGGTTTGAGTCAGAGCAATTTCACAACATGTTTTACAGTTTTTAGATTAATACAAAAATATTTTAAGCAATTTTTGTTACAAAAAAAAAGCTAAACCTGTAGGTCTATTTTTCATCTAAATGTCTAGTCTTTCCAAGAAATGATTAAAGTTCATAAATGTGTTAACGTATATGAAAACACAAGTGTGTTGTTTGATTGGCAGTAAACCAGTAACAAACGAACCCAACACGCTCAATAATCTCTTTGTAGACCAGCAGCATTAGAAGGAGTTGATGTAGAAGAAGTACAGTGAGGAGATAGAGCATATAAATGTAAAATGTATTTAGAAAATGCTAAATTTTCTGTTTATAATTAAAATGTGATCCTCAGACAGTCAAATGTGTTCAGACAAAACATTAAATATTCCAGTCTTTCAGTATGAAGGCCTTTTCCCCCAGTATTTTACCATGTTGAGGGTGTAGAAGCTTCACACGCTAACTTTTCTTTCCTGCCTTCATGCTTGAACACAGAAACCATGTCAGAGACACAGACTCACCAATACTCTGACAGTAACTGATGCCAGTCCAGGAGGCATGCTTCCCTTTGTGTCCGAAGCCTCTACGGTGAAGGTGTACGTGTGCTCTGAGTCATTCAGGGCTTCATAGTCCAGAACCTTGAGAACTGACAGCTTCCCCGTCACTGGGTCAACGTGGAAAAGCTGCAATATCTCAGGATTCAAGCTTTCAGCTCTGATTTGATATGTGAGGTTAGAGCCGAGGTCGGCATCTGTTGCCTGCAGAAAACAAAAACAAAACAAACAAACAAACAAAAAAAGTAAAATAACCAGTTTTTTGCATGTTCAATTTTTTTAGAGTTGCAAATATTGTTTTATGATGGTCAGCAGCGAATTGATATATTTGTAATGCATGTGGTAGCAACCTTTAGWGTCCAACTGGTGGTCAATGCCTTTTTTATTTTTTTTAAAGCATTTAAATGGGTCACTGGAGGGAAACCTGCCACTTTCAATTTCGCATCCTTCAACAACTCACAGGGTAGTTTGGACTTTCATGATGCCCCCTATTGCTGCCTGGAATGTAAAGTAAGCAATKTGGTAAATTCATAGAAAATAGAAGTGAGGAACTCAACGTAACATTATTATGTGTCATAAACTGAATTTATGACTTAGAGGGCTTGTATCGAGTCAGAATATTAATCTCAGGTTACCTAATTTTGAATATCAAACAGTTGTAAAGTTGTTTAAAATTCTATGCGGGACTATAGATCCATGTTGGAACTGCTAATCTATTCCGTATGGTAAAAATATAAAAACAATAAAAAAAAATCTCAAATGAAAATACAAATAATAAAAACATGACAACATTTTTTCCTCATCATTTCCATGCTGCAATGGAGACAGATTTTTGTGCTCAGAACCAGCAAAAATAGAAACTAAATAGAAATAAAGCAACACAGCAGGTAGAGCCCTTTCAGTAAAGAGGCACTGATTGGACCAGTCTGACCGTCTCTGTTGTTTGAACCTCATTGTTCTGGCCTTTATGCTCTGCAGCCTATCTATGTAGAAGCGGAGGGTCAAACAGTTCACGAGTCAGGTGAGTTGGGATCCCCATAATGCAGATCTGCTGATGTAGATGTCCTCAGAGGAAGGGAGGCTGCTGTGAGTTATAATCACCACCCTCTACAACGCACAGCAGGTCCCATACTATACCATTTGAAGTTGTTGGGTATTTTTAATTATGTTAAAGATGTTTAAGGACCACATCAAATCTCTGATTGCAATATATAGCATTTACAACCAGCTCCTTCACTTTCTCCACGTTATTGCAGAGGTTATCTCTCTACAAGAGACCACCATCTTTCTCTACCTGTATGAATACTCATCACTGCTGTGTCATCTTCAAATTTAAAACTACAGTGACCACTAGTCTGGCTGAGTGAGGAGTCATGCATGTGTAGTACGTACAACAGGGAGCTCAGAACACATCCTTGCGAGGAGCTGGCATTTTTTAAAATCTTTCTGTCCTTCCAAACACCTACCTTTAGTTGTAATATGACTGTATCCTTCGGGCTGTTCTCTGGGAGGTTGACATTGTAAGACTGCTGGGAGAAAACTGGGCTGTTATCGTCAACATCCAAAACGGTGACAGACAGTGTCAGTATGGATCTCCGGGGCACGTCGGCCCCATCTGAGGCCTCCACCACAAGGAAATAGTGGCCTCTCACCTTCAAAGATACAGAGATTCACAATGAAAGTTAACACTAAATTTAGATATTTAAATCTATCCAYTAAACAGGACCGCAGAATGAATCTGTTATTTCCTCTGACCTCTCTGTCCAGAGGCACTGCAGWCCATATGGTTCCACTGGCATTGATGGAAAATAGAGTCTGGTGGTTGACGAGACGATAATGAACCTGGCYGCTTGCTCCTAGATCTGGATCTGTTGCCTAGAACACGACACACAACAATTTAATATTCAAAGAGAGTTAAATCAGCAGGTTTGAAATACTCAGATACTGAGATTTGATGACTTTGAGGGATCTTTACTCATGTGGAAAAAAATATACAAATAGTTACAGTATTTTAGGAACAGCTTTGGTAATGTGCAGTTCCATTGATATGATAATTAGCGATGTGCTAACCTCACATTTACCAATGCTGTATAGCCACAGAGACTTGAAGTGTACTTWGTGACCTCAATATCGGCTCAAAATGTCTGATCAGGACCTTACCTGACATTTTAGCTAGAAGTGGAACGCCCATATATAAGGTCTATCCAAATATTTGCAGTGATGTTTAGGTCAGTGGACTCTGGGTACAAAGGAAAAAGCCTCTTCCAGAGGGAGCTGAGTTTTACAGCAGGTTCTGGGTGATTTTCCTGTTGTAGAAGCCATTCGCTTTCATCTGTAGATGAAAAGGCACTTGCCTTTTTATTTGCAGGTATTTAATTGAAACTGTTCTTTTGTCTTCCATTTTAAAGTTCCCTGTGCCAACGGCTCCAACACAAACCTAAAGAAGGATCAATCCACCTTAATGCTTAACATGTAGAGCTGTTGTTTCTATAAAATAATCTTTTTTAAGTTCAAATTCAGAGAAAACTTCTTCCCTAGGTAACGAATTGAGGAAACTGCTACATGAAAGCATTTTCTTATCTCTTATAGTCATTTCCTGATTAGCTGGGATTTATATATATA